AATATTTTTTTTTAATTATTAAAAGCTTTACTAGCTCATTCACCACTAGCATCTCGGGACGTCTTACAATGAAAAAAATTAACATGCGAAACAAAGCAGCCCAGCATCCAACGACTTAAGACAATAAAACCCCAGTTAAAATCATCTAAAAATTAAAATGATGGGAAAATAAACAGGTTTTCGTCTGACACCCAAAGGAATATAGTGACAGCACCAGGCAAACCTCTCTGGGGAGTATATTCTGTAGTTGGGGCTCCACCACAGAGAAGGCCCGTCTGGGTAACCACCCTCCTAATCTCCTTCAAGGCGGAGGCCCTGCTCCTACAGCAGGACCTCTGCCTCAGATCTCAAGGGGTGGGAGGGCATATGGGGAAGAAGGTGTTCCTTCTGGTATCCTGGACCAAAGCCATTTAGGGCTTTGTAGGTCTTTACCAGCACCTTATATTGGGCCTGGACTTCACTTGACAGCCAGTGTAACCAATAGAAGACTGGCTCCGTTAACATCCTGACAACTCTATTCCGAAACAACTGAAGTATCTGGGCCATCTTCAAGGGCAGCCTCATGTGGAGCACTTGCAGTAATCCAATCGGGAAGTTACCAGGGCATGGGTCACCTTTGCCAGGCAGTGCTCATCCAGCTCGTGGAACAGTTGAAGCTGAAGAAAAGCGCTCCTTGCTACTGGCATCGCCAGGGACTCCAGGGACAGCTCTGGGTCGAGGAGTACTTCCAAACTGTGCACGCTGTCCTTTAGGGGGAGGGCAACCCCGTCCAGAACAGGGCAGATGTCACTCATGTGGAAGGCTGAATCGCCCACCAACGGGGCCTCTGTCTTATTAAGCCTCAATTTATTGGCCCTCATCCAGCTCATTACCCCAGCCAGGCACCAGTTCAGCACAGCAACTGCCTCACCTGGACTTGATGTGAAAGAACTGTAGAGCTGGGTGCCATCAGGGTACTGATGACTCTGCAGCCCAAACGCCCAGATGACCTCCTCCAGCGGTTTCATGTAGATGTTGAATAGCATGGGGGATAAAATGGAACCCTGTGGAACTCCATGGCAAAGCTGCCATGGCGCAGAGCCACAATCCCCCAGCACCACCTTCTGGAATTGGCCAGCTTAATATGAGTTGAACCACCACAAAGCAGTGCCTCCAACCCCCAACTTGGCCAGGCTATCTAGAAGGATCTCCTGGTCAATGGTATCGAAAGCACTGAGAAGTCCAGGAGAACTCCCCCGGTCCCTCTCCCTGCACAGGTCATCATACAGGGTGACTAAGGCAGTTTCATTCCCATAGCCAGGCCTGAAACCAGACTGGAATGGGCCCAGATGGGCAGTTTCCTCCAAGAGAGCATGGAGTTGTCAGGCCTTCACCTGCTTAAGCACCTTGCCCAAGAACAGGATGTTAGCCACCGGTCTATAGTTGGTGGCCATCTCTGGGTCCAGGTTTGCCCTCTTCAGGATGGACCTGTTCATAACCTCTTTCAAGGGGGCAGGGACCCTCCCCTCCCTCAGAGAAGCATTAACAATCTCCTGGACCGCAGTACACACCCCAGCATTCCCTAAGCAGCACCCGTTGGGGCCAGTCATCCAAGCGGGAGCAGAACCTCCCAGCTCAGACAGCCACCCCAGAAGTGAACTATGTTGGAAGCCACAAAGAGCCACAGCCACAAAGTATTAGCAGGGTCCCACTCCCACTGTCTCTACCTGGTGTAAAGCACAATACAGGACAACACAAGCTGTTTCCATGTGAGCACTAGACTGAACCACAGCTTAACTGGTCCGAGACAACCAGTCTTATCCAAGAGTGCCTGGAGTTGGTTGCCAACCACCCTCTCAAGGATCTTGCCCAAGAAGAAACATTTCTGAGAGCCCCAAAGTGTTGACATGTTCACCAACTCCTCCTTCAGGCAGCATAGCATCACTCTGTTTCACACGGAGGCACGGATCACCGCCTTGGCCTGGCCACTTGTTCCCTCTCTGGAGGCTTTTATAAGCCAGGATGGGTTCAGTACAAAAGTGGTTGCACAAATGGATCCAAGCAGCTGCACAACTTCCTCCAGCTGCACCAACTGAAACTCCTCCAGAAAGACCGGATCGGGCTATACTCTGGATATCTCACCTGATTCAACTACTGTATCACTGGAGTCCCTGAGAACACAATGCAGTTTGTCTTAGGAGGGGCTGCCTTTCCAAAGTGGGTCTAGGATGTACTTGCAGGCAGCAGGTAAGAGGCTCCAGATGATCCCAAAAAGCATTGCTGTGTGGCAGATAGAAAGCCGATCTGTTTTCTTGCTGCCCTCACTGCCCTTAAAGGCAGCAACTAGAGGCGCTCACCTGGATGACACCCCACGAGTCATCTTTTATTTAACAGGGTAAAAGCAGGGACAGACCAGGGTTCCTCTCTGAGGAGAGGATCCCTGTTGCTGCCAAAGGCTCTGCTGGAGGACACCCTGCGATTCTACGGAGGAGAAGGCTGCATCACGTACTGTATCAGTGGCAGGAACAACTGGCTTGGTTATTTTAAGTCCAAGGTGGCCAACTGGTCTGGGGGTTTTAGGGGGAGCCAAACAGGGTGAGTCCAGTGCTCTCCAATTCCCAGTTCCCTTCCCCACCTTTTTGCTTGTGTGTGTTGTATGTCATAGTGTTTTAAGACCCTCCACCCCATAGTGTTTACCCTGTCTTTTAATAAATTAGTTTCCCCCCAACACTTGGCTTGTTGTGTGCTGAATCCAGTGTCCGGTCCCAGGATTTGGGCGGCAAGAGGGGCAGGGCGGAAAGGTGAACCCTGCCAGCCACTGAGAGAAGGGGACTCTGGGGCAGCTGATTGTTACAGTTGATTCATCTGTAATTCATGGCCTTCTGGGTAGCACAGAGATGACAGTTTTCTCCAGAACATTTTCTGGGACTTGTGGTTCCTTTCCTCAGTCACGGGGCCTTCGTACGTGATGGAATCTCTGCTATCTACTGCAGCGGCAAACGGTTCCTTTCCAGCCTGGGCACAATTCTCTTGTGCCACTTGAACCATATGCCACGGGGTGCCCTCCTGTGAGGCACCTGCTCATAGAAGGTGCCTCACAGTTCTTTGTGTTCACCATCACATCTCAGCTTTGCCTCTTGGATAGTGGCTTCTCCCATGTCTTGACTTGCCTGGATAGTCATTTCAAGATAATTGTTGCCTTTTTTCTCCAGATCTCTTAGATGGGTGGTGATTTTTGCAAATCCTGGGATGAACATTGATTAGCACCCAGGCACATTCTCAAGCTTTGCTTGATATTGGTGGTTTGTGTTGAGATCCTGCTCGAGCCCCACATTTACTGGAACCCACTTGTCCCATTCCTGCTTGTGAGGCTTCAGTTGCAGGTTATATTCTCTGCACTTTAAGAGTGCCGGTCCAGTCCTTGACAGCGCCCTGGCTGCCTTTTCAGCAGCCCTAAACCTGGATGGCTGCCCAGGGTGCCAGGGTTCAGCGATGACAGAGACAGCCACTGAGATTCGCGCCCTGGAAGAAACTCAGAAACTCATCTGCTGTGCGCTGACAGGATCATGCCCTTCCTGGTTTACACGGAGAAGCTACGGGAAGCATCTGTCCCCAGGACAGAAGGGAGCAGTCCCCACAGAAATCAACAAAGAAAGGCGCATACTAAATGAGTTCGGCCTGGGAACCAGTGTGCCCACCCCAATCCTTCAAGTCCTGAAAAGGTGCCAGGAGAGAGAATAGCGTGAAATCTTTAGGGAAAGATTGAAAAATTCCAAAGCAAATTCCACTGTCTCCAGAGAACAGGCTGGAAGGCATCGCTGCTGAGAGGGGGGGTTTATGTCGCATGGCGGGCCAGCTCTGCATGCCTTTCCAGGGCACCTCAGTGCAGCCCAGCGTTATTTTACCCCTGCCTGCACGATGGACGCTGTGCTGCAGTTGACAGAATAGCCACTGTGTGGCCCACTGATTTTATCTCCACTTGCACTGTGGGAGGAGAGAGCAAGAACCCTGCATTGCGGTTCCCTCCCATCCACTCGTGGCCGTTTGGAGGGCTTTCAGCAGCCTTGCAGCTATTCGCACAGCAAAGTAGAAAGATAGAAACAGAGACAGTCAGAAGGGGTCTCTCGGGCCATCTAGTCTGACCCCCATCTACCATGTGCATGTCTAGCGTATCCTTGAACACCCTCACTGATGGGGCCTTCACCATTTCCCAAGGAAGCCCATTCCAAACCTGAGGGGTCCTAACTGTCAGGAAGGACTTCCTGGTCTCCAAATTGAACCTTGGTTCCTTGAGTTTGGTTCCGTTGGCACACATCCTTTCCTCCTCTGCAGGGGAGAACAGGTCTCTACCCACCTCTCTGTGACACCCCCTCACATACCTATATGTCACCAATGGATCCCCTGAGACTCCAGGCTGAAAAAACCCAGTGCCTTCAGTCTTACCCCATACAGCTATCAGCAGCTGAGCATTTCACTGCATAGAAATGCCTAGAAATGCCTCTGCATCCTGTGCAAGTACTAATATTATTTAACCCTAACCCTAAAGCTCTCTGAAAAGACTCTCCCTGGAACCCACTTGTAGCTCAGGGCAAGGGCGGGTCATGTTTCACGTGATGCTGCATTT